TTTAACATGCTCACCTTCTCCGAATAGAACAGAGCTGAGCGATTTAAGGATCTGTATGAAACTCTCCTGGCAAAATGTGTCCAGGTTCTCAATGGAGTTTTCTGTGAATCCAAATCCTTAAAAAGTTAAGCAGTTAAAGAAAGGGTGTGTATGAAAGTGCTCATTGTAGCTGTGGCATTGGGTCTCTTAATTGCTGTATTAGCTCAGGCTGCCATAACAGAATACCACAGACTGGTTGGCTTAAGCAACAGAAATTTATTTCTCCCAGTTCTGGAGGTTGGGATGTTCTGGAGTTTGGGAAGTCCAAGATCAAGATGCCAGCAGAGAAGGTTTCCTTCTGAGGCCTCTTCTCTTGGGTTGGAAGGCAGCAGCCATCTTGCTGTGTGCTCACATGATCTCTTCTTTGTACAAGTGTGTTTGGAAAGGGAGGGAAGGAAAGAGGGGGAGAGGGAGGGAGGGAGGGAGGGAGAGAGAGAGAGATCGATCCTGTCTCTTATAAAGAGACTAACTCTCAGGGCCCCACCCTTATGACCTAATGTAACCTTAATTAATTCCTTAGAGTCCCCATCTCCAAACACAGCCACACTGGGGGTTAGGGGTTCAACATATGAATTTTAGGGGTACACAAACATTCAGTCCATGAAAATGCTTATGGTGGAAGTATAACCAGAATGGGGAAAGAGTGCAGAGGGGGGAAGAACTGAACAGTAGAAGAGTAGAAAGGAAGTAATGTTGACACATTTAAGAATTATCTAGATTGTTTCTACATATATTCATTCCATCAAAGAATACTCATTTTTTTAGTACATATAAATGTGCGAAAGACAGAGGGGCAATGTAATTTCAAGCACTCTAAAAACTTACAAACACCAGATTTCACATCAAAGGTTTTTGGTAAGTCATACTCCAAAATGTGTATTCTAAAATTGTCTCAGTGTTAATTTGAGAATTCTCAAATATCTGATTGTTCACTCTATGACATTATTGGATTTTTATAACAAATGTAAGTAGCTCAGACTTTTCTCCTGGCTCTGGTTGTAAGACTTTCACTATGAATATTATTGTTTTGCCAGTTTTCTGGGGGAAATGTCAGTCATTTGATTTATTTTAATCAATAAATTTACCTTCCCTCCAGAAAATTCCTGCCCTGGAAATCTGCCAAACCTTGCATTTTGTGAATGAAATACTTGTATTTGTGAGATTTCTATGAAAAATAGAATTATTGAATACCTTTTACTAAATCATAGTGAATGTGATGCAGCTCATGAATTGAGCTTGAATTGTGTTGCATCTGGCACTAATTTCAAACATGTAAGTTTCATTTAAATTATTAAACATATCTTAAAAATCATAAAGCAGTTTTTCTTTGCCAAGAGATATTATAGTTTCTGAATAGTTTTCCCTTATATTTAATAATTTTTTTCTTAGTGTAGAGATTACAAGTCACACTCATGTTATAAAAGATTAATTGTGGAGCTCTTTTTTAGTGGCTGCTAAAATCTCTGATTGATGAAAATTTCCCCAAATATAATGAAATCCCTTAAATATTTTTCAGTTGGAAAAAGTGAATATGACCTTGTTGAATGTATAATAGATGTGTTTCTTGCTGAAACTGAGAAAGAGAATAATTAATTTCCGTCTATACAAAATGCTTCATTTTTTGCATTGAAGAAAAAGTTGTCCAGTGACTCATGCAGAAGAACAGAAACAATGGAGTCCTGCATGTTAGGAATTCTGTGATTTGTTTTTAAACTTGCAAACCAAAATATCTATAAACGGTGCTAGTCTTCCAGGAATATGTTCAACAACTAACACCATAACATCGGTAGGTGTTCCAATTTGAGGGAACAGCATTTCTGTAATGTAGGATGTTGACAAAGAAAAGCCCATTTTTCATTGGTCATGTCTAGCGCTTTCAGAATCCAATAGACTGTCCATCGGAAGAGAACGAGGACAGGAGAGGAAAGTGTAGTGAACATTCCTGTAAGCTAGGTATTTTGCATCTAATATCATATGATCATATGAAGTAGTTATTATTGTATCCATTTTACAGATAAGGAAATAAAGGCTTCAAGTGTTTAAGAAACTTGCCTAATGTCACACAGCTGGTAACAAGCAGAAGTGGAATGGGATGTTTCCCTGGACTCTAGAGTTCATGGTCTCTCCACCGTCACTCACTTCCCCCTTTAAGGTAAAGTTCGCAGCACAGTACAGTCAATAAAGTATAGACATTATTACTACCCAGCGAGATGTGTACCCAGCTGGAGATCATGAAAACAGCGGCCTCGGGAGCAAAATGGGCCTTCCCTCTCCAACCCCCTCAGTACCTAGTGAGTGATGAGATCCCATCAGAGGAATCCTCTTCAATCATCCCGCTTTCATACATTGAAGTTTATGTTAGTCTCCCTTTTCCTAAAATACCTTCATCTTCCCAAACAGCCCAAAGCTGTTAAAGGAACACGTGTAAAGCTTTTAACGCAGACCCTGGCGTTTAATGACTGATGGTCACTAAATATTAATTTCCTTCTCTTACACATAAAAACTAATGTGGGAGGGAAGGAGAGAGAGAGGGAGAGGGAGAGAACTAAACACATAGAGCAAAGAGGATTTTTTGGGCAGCGAAAATATTCTGCATTGTAACCAAAATGATAGATTTATGTCATTATACACATACATTTGTCCAAGCTCAAAGAATATATGACACCAAGAGAGAACCCTAAGGTAAACTATGGGCTTTGGATAATTATGATGTGTCAGTGTGGGTTCATCAATTGTAACAAATGTACCAGACCAGGGGTCGGCAAACCTTTGAATAATATCCTTTAAAAATTTTATAAATGAAACTATGATAGTTCTATTTTCATTTTCAATTTGACTTCAGAGCCACATGTACGTACCCGAAGAGCCGCATGTGGCTCGCGAGCTGCAGTGTGCCAACCCCTATACCAGACCTCTCTAGTGAGAGATACTGATGCTGGGGGAGGCTATGCATGTGTGGGGGCAGTGCGTGCATGGAAAATCTGTGCACCTTCCCCTCAATTTTGCTGTGAACCTAAAACGGCTCTAAAACAATAACATCTTTTAAAAAATCAAAAGAACAATAATTCATTACATGTGAAAATTATATGAAAACCAAACTTTAGTGTCCATGAATAAAGTTATATTGGAGCACATAGACAAAACAAAAAACAAACAAAAAAACCAAGAAGCACATAAGTGTTGCTAGATTATCAGATAATATGTCACACCTTCATGGTCCTCACCATGTGCCCTACGCTCAGCACTTTGCTAAGGTTTAAGAAGACTCATGAAGTCTATCAACTGGCCTGTCAAGAAGTTTGTAGCCTGAGACACGTAATGTAGTTATAAATGATACATTTTACACCATAAGTATTAAAATTGTGCTGTCTATGATGTCAGTATAAATTATAGATCCTAAGGATGGAAAAGTAAGGTAGAAGGAACGTAGTATATGCTATGTCCTTTGTCTGGAATACCGTTCCCTTTTATACCTTTGAACTTCTTTTCATCCTTCAAAATCAGATATTACCTCCTGAGTTAAACCTTTCCTGATTCATGCAATTTGTACCTTTCTTCTCTATGCCTTCATCAAGAAGTACAATCAGTTATCATAAGTCAGTCTACCCTGACCAATAAATACATTGTGAGCGCCTTCAAAGGCACAGATTTTAGATCTATGATCAGTGTTGAGTTAATTATTTATATGGTACAAAGTATAAGTCAAGGTTTATTTTGGGGCAATTTGTTGAAACTCTTTCATCTGTTGAATTGCCTTTGCACCTTTGTTGAAAATCAAATGGACCATATATGTGTAGATCTATGTTCTGGACCCTCAATACTGTTCCATTGGACTATGTATATCCTCTCTCTAGTAACATACTGTCTTAATTATAGAGGCTTTATAGTGAATTTTGAAATCAGGTAGCATGAATCTTCCAACCACATTCTTCTCCACCCCCCTGCCCAAATTATTT